ATTATTTCTTGCAGCCCCCTCTCTCTCTCTAAAACTCTCCAAAATCCTAATCTAGAGCTTCTCTCTCTAGAAGTCACCTTCTCTCTTTGATTTCTCCAAATCCATTGGGACTTAAGCCTAAGTTCTTCACCAAAGTTGGTCATCACCTCGAGGGCTTCATTCTGTGTGGTGAAGATCGAGTTTCGACACCGTTGATTTTGGAGTTTTTAACTTATTTCTTCTTCAAACTTGAGGTAGGGATTTTCTTTGAGTTATATACATATTTTTGCAAGATCTAGATGATTTTCGAAATCATCCTTTGATAGCTTCTGAAAATTCATTTTGATTTAAGAAATTGAGTGATTTTGAAAGTGGGTTTTGTCTCTTGTTCTTTTCAAATAATCTTATGGGCCTTGATCTTTGTTGATTGAAGAAAAGAAGATTTTCGAGAGTTTTCTTTCAAAAGCTTTGAGCTGTGTAGTTTGGTGAGAAAACCTAGAAATTGGTGATTTTAAAAGAGATTGAAAATTCATGGGTAATTGTAGACACCCCGTTTTTGACCGTCCTCAAGACTTGGTTGTGCTTGCAGGTACATCCAGCCACAAGCTCGATTGCTCGTCGAGTGCCCGACTTTCGTGACAGCACGTCACAGGTTTGAGCTTTCCAAACCCTGTATCCTTTCTGCCCCATTTTTGGACCATGTGTTGGCCCTTTCTTCATGCTTCTTGTGAGGCATTGCCGACCACCTTTTGGCCCTGTCGGCCATGGTTTTGTCCCTGCCTGCCATTGATGAAGCCTGTCGGCCATCAATGAGGCACTGCCGGCCACCACTGATGGCCGGTAAAACACATTGTCTCAGCAGATTTCACTCCAGATCTTTTGAGCCAGCTGGTTTTCACTCACCCCTGGATGAAGCTCTTTCAAGCTTGTTTAACAAGCTTTGCATTGCTTTCCTCTATATAAGGAGAGGCTCCTCCTCCCCAGCAGAGGTTCATCATTTTTTGGAGAAAAAATCTCTCTCTCTCTCTCTCTCACACTCTCTCTCTATATTGTATTGAATAGTATTCCAAAGTGTGTTTTCTCTTCACTTTTGCAAAAGGAACACTTAGTGATACACCACCATCTTTGAGCTGAGGTTCTTGGGAGTGTTGTTTGAGCTCTGAAAGTTGGTTTTTGGCCGCAAAGATTGATGGTTTCGAAGTTGTGCTTCAAGGGTGAGTGTTTTCCCCATTTAAGCTTTGTTTGTCTACAACTTTGGCCATCCTTGCATATTGTTTTAGGCCTTGTTTTCAACTGAAAAAAATTCTATTTTTAAGTGCTTTAGATGGTTGTTTAAGGCCTCTTTGGTGTTGAGGGTGTTCTACCCTCTTGTGTGCCTTGTTTGGCCTTGTTTTGTGCCATGTCTTAAGGCCTTTGAGTTAGTCCTACGGGAAAGTGTATTCGAAAGAAAAACTACAAACTGCATTCGAAATTGCTTACGGGAAAGTGTATTTGACGCTCGAGCGGGGCTTTCCAAGCTCGAGCGGACCTTGTTATATCAGTCCATAAAATTAGGGTTTCATATTATTTCTTGCAGCCCCCTCTCTCTCTCTAAAACTCTCCAAAATCCTAATCTAGAGCTTCTCTCTCTAGAAGTCACCTTCTCTCTTTGATTTCTCCAAATCCATTGGGACTTAAGCCTAAGTTCTTCACCAAAGTTGGTCATCACCTCGAGGGCTTCATTCTGTGCGGTGAAGATCGAGTTTCGACACCATTGATTTTGGAGTTTTTAACTTATTTCTTCTTCAAACTTGAGGTAGTGATTTTCTTTGAGTTATATACATATTTTTGCAAGATCTAGATGATTTTCGAAATCATCCTTTGATAGCTTCTGAAAATTTATTTTGATTTAAGAAATTGAGTGATTTTGAAAGTGGGTTTTGTCTCTTGTTCTTTTAAAATAATCTTATGGGCCTTGATCTTTGTTGATTGAAGAAAAGAAGATTTTCGAGAGTTTTCTTTCAAAAGCTTTGAGCTGTGTAGTTTGGTGAGAAAACCTAGAAATTGGGGATTTTAAAAGAGATTGAAAATTCATGGATAATTGTAGACACCCCATTTTTGACCGTCCTCAAGACTTGGTTGTGCTTGCAGGTACATCCAGCCACAAGCTCGATTGCTCGTCGAGTGCCCGACTTTCGTGACAGCACGTCACAGGTTTGAGCTTTCCAAACCCTGTATCCTTTCTGCCCCATTTTTGGACCATGCGTTGGCCCTTTCTTCATGCTTCTTGTGAGGCACTGCCGACCACATTTTGGCCCTGCCGGTCATGGTTTTCTCCCTGCCTGCCATTGATGAAGCCTGTCGGCCATCAATGAGGCACTGCCGGCCACCACTGATGGCCGGTAAAACACATTGTCTCAGCAGATTTCACTCCAGATCTTTTGAGCCAGCTGGTTTTCACTCACCCCTGGATGAAGCTCTTTTCAAACTTGTTTAACAAGCTTTGCATTGCTTTCCTCTATATAAGGAGAGGCTCCTCCTCCCCAGCAGAGGTTCATCATTTTTTGGAGAAAAAATCTCTCTCTCTCTCTCTCGATCATGTTAGACCTAAAAAACTCACCAAAAACAAGCTACACCCATGACTCAAGAGTATAGAGATACATGCTTCATTTGATAGGTAAATAGAATACAAGCAAACAACACAAGAAAGAGAGGGGATCACCCCTCTGATTTTAAGGCCACAAAACCACATGTCTACCACACAAAAATCCATTGGATTCAGTGGCTAAAATTTCCAAATAAAGACTAACTCAAAGGCCTTAAGACATGGCACAAAACAAGGCCAAACAAGGCACACAAGAGGGTAGAACACCCTCAACACCAAAAGGCCTTAAACAACCATCTAAAGCACTTAAAAATAGAATTTTTTCAGTTGAAAACAAGGCCTAAAACAATATGCAAGGATGGCCAAAGTTGTAGACAAACAAAAGCTTTAAATGGGGAAAACACTCACCCTTGAAGCACAACTTCGAAACCAGCAATCTCTGCTGGGCCAAAAACCAACTTTCAGAGCTCAAACAACACTCCCAAGAACCTCAGCTCAAAGATGGTGGTGTATCACTAAGTGTTCCTTTTGCAAAAGTGAAGAGAAAACACACTTTGGAATACTATTCAATACAATATAGAGAGGAGTGTGGAGAAATAGAGAGA